GCCGTTTCCTTAGAAGAAGGGAGCTAAAATGAACCTCAGAGGAGCTGCACAGGGAGTGGACACACTAGACTGGCAGCAGGCACAGAAATGTGGCAGTGTTCCTTTCTGACGAGTTCTGCTTGTTAAAAGCTCTTGGGCAAAGCTCCAGACTGTAACTGGAGGCCAGCTATGTTGCAAACCTGCAACCCAACTATACTCCCTCCTCCAGGGTTCAAAAAAGAACTAGATATGTTCTTGGAGGATAGGTCCATAAATGGCTATTAGCCAGGATGGGCAGGGATGGTGTCCCTAGCCTCTGTTTGCCAGAAACTGGGAATGGGCAACAGGATGGATCACTTGATGATTATCTGTTCTGTTCATTCCCTCTGGGGCCCCTGGCATTGGCCACTGTCTGAAGACAGGATACTGGGCTAGATGGACCTTTGGTCTGACTCAGTATGGCCGCTCTTATATTCTACCTCCCCTACTGCACTGGATCCGAACACTCCTGAATGTTAGGAAACTTCAGAACTGAACTTTGTAGCCTATGCCCATGCAGAAATAGTAAGAGCTGTATGTATGTAGTAGTAAGAGCAGTATTTTTTTACACATGGGTTCACTTTCATCTCATGGTAGAAAGTAGCTCACAATAGATCTTGTAATATGGCTGCTGGGGGGGAAGCAAAGAAATGACTTGAAAACATAGAGATAAATATCTGGAATAGCTCAGGTTTGAGAATAGTTAATATTACAAGGGACAGATTGCATCCCCAGATTCCACCGAGTTGTGGTCTCCACAGCAACCCGCCTAGTGACCATGTATTTTCAGTCAGATGCAGCAGTATTAAACTGTTAGTTGTGGAAAACCATCTACCTGGTTGACAAAGATTCTGAACTAGTTTTTTGATACTGTACTCACACAAGTCAGAATCTGTAAAAGCTTGGACAATTTTATAGGTGCAGGTTAAGAGAATAAAAGCTGAGCAACTGAGGTTCAGTTATAAATGGATTTCCTGTTTTGAATTACTGCTTACAGGACTTGCTTTGTTGTGAATGTGAATGAAGGTACAGAGACAAGGTGGGTGAGGTGACATCTTTTATTGGGCCAACTTCTGTTGGTGAGAGAGACAAGCTTTTTGGCTACACAGAGCTCTTCTGCAGGTAGCTCGAAAACTTGTCTCTCTCACCAACAGAAGTTGGTCCAATGAAAGATATTACTTCCTTCACCTTGTCTCTCTCATCCTGGGACCGACACAGCAACACTGCATACAATGAATGTACATGCTGTGACAGACCCAGATCAGTGGGGTACAGGAGTCTGGTAGAGGGCAAATATACTGGTCACTGGATGAGTAGTTTTCTGTTCCCTGAGTGACCAGAGCAGGGGCTGCACTAGAGTAATCAGGAACCTGCTAGAACCAGTTAAGGCAGGCAGGCTAATTAGGACACCTGGAGCCAATTAAGAAGAAGCTGCTAGAATCAATTAAGGCAGGCTAATTAGGGCACCTGGGTTTTAAAAGGAGCTCACTTCAGTTTGTGGTGCGAGTGTGAGGAGCTGGGAGCAAGAGGTGCAAGGAGCTGAGAGGGTGTGCTGCTGGAGGACTGAGGAGCACAAGTGTTATCAGACACCAGGAGGAAGGTCCTGTGGTGAGAATAAGGAAGGTGTTTGGAGGAGGCCATGGGGAAGTAGCCCAGGGAGTTGTAGCTGTCATGCAGCTGTTACAGGAGGCACTGTAGACCGCTGCAGTCCACAGGGCCCTGGGCTGGAACCCAGAGTAGAGGGCGGGCCTGGGTTCCCCCCAAACCTCCCAATTGACCTGGACTGTGGGTTCTTCCAGAGGGGAAGGTCTCTGGGCTGTTCCCCAACCCACATGGTGAATCTCTGAGGCAAGAAAATCTGCCAATAAGCACAGGACCCACCAAGATAGAGGAGGAACTTTGTCACAATGCAAACACAACCTAGGGTGACCAGATGTCCTGATTTTTATAGGGACAGTCCTGATTTTGGGGTCTCTCTTACATAGGCTCCTATTACTCCCCCCCACCCCCATCCCGATTTTTCACATTTGTTGTTTGGTCACCCTAACACAACCGGACTTCCTATTCTGCCAAAGCAGTTGGCATTTTGAACCTGAAACTATTGCTAGCTGTGCTCTGTCACCTTCTGAGACAGGTCAGGGGCTTGGGAAAAGCTTTTGAGTTCAGTTCGCCAACAGTTCCTGGACCATAATCTAAATAAATAATTTAAGATGTCTAGTTTAAAGAGATCTTCATAACCAGAACCCCAACATAGATGACCTGATTGTAACATTAGCTGCATCTATGATTAGACAGTTAGGTAAGTGTTCAAAACTCCAGCAGTCGTCCTCCCACTAAGGCTCCAAACATGCACCAGTGGAGGCAAACTCTGGGAGAGTCCCGACTGTGGTCAAGCCTTTGCCAACTGCAGGAACAGAGTTGGTGGCAGATTACACACATGCTCAGAAATGGACCCTAAGGAGGAATATAGTTTTGTGGTTAGAGCGGGAGCCCAGCAGTTCCTTGTTCCTAGTTTCTTTTCCCAGCTTTGCTGATTCTCTGCATGATCTTGAGCAAATCACTTCTCCGTTCTGGTACTGATGGGAGGCTTATTTTAGATCCCAGCACAAGGACGACAATAGACAGAAGTTTTAAGATGGCCCCAAACTCCCACATGCTGATCTCCTGAAGCAAAAGCCATAAAAGGAGAAAAGGGGATAGTGACCTTGCTCTTGGAGGTAGGCTGTCACCAGAGCAGAGGTATTCATGCTAAGCAGGGAGGCAGAGCAGCATCAGGAACAGATGTAGGAGGCAGCAACGACTTGGCTCCAAAATTTAGACATTTCTTTGGAGAGGCAGTTTCTGCTTGGAAACCTGAGACACAAACGCACACTGGCTTTCAGGCTTATTACAGGCAGACTGAATTTTTTTAAACTTATTTAGTTCTTTCCCTGCTCTCTCCCCCCTCCAATTGTCCATCTGTTGGTGCCTCTGTGTATCAAGCCTTTCTGAAAATTAATCCCTGTAAACAGGAAACAAATTGAATCTCTGCTAATCCATCAATCTTGCTTAAGAGACAAATAAGGAAAATGCTGGGTGCATTATGATTGGGGTAATGTAATAACTATTTAAAATACCTTCTAGAAATAATGAAAACCATTTTTACTGTTAAACACTGCCGTACAATCTTTCCAAATGGACACTTGCAGATCACCACTTCATGGGGGGGAAGAGTGTTTTCTGTCTTTTGTGCTTCGTGATGTACAGAGGTGGTGGTGTTTGAGGGTTTTATTTATCATTCTTCCCCTTTGCTTTTTACCTTGTAATCTTTACAGCTGTGTACTGTGAGTTTACACCAAAGCATCCTTCCTTCCAAGTGTGTGTTAGGCAGTGGAGTAAAACAGGTGTTCAAAAAGTTATATGAAAAGACAACAGCCCAGTTGAAAAGTCAATACAAACAAAGCAGCAGGACATTAGTTCAAACTTCCAACCCATTTCAGAATCTTTATTGAAAAAAAAAAAATTAATCACAGCATCTGAATCATTATTCAAACACATTTAATAAACAAAGAAAAACAGTAGCAAAGGGCACTGACATGTGACAAACTGTACAAAACCTCTGGGTTTGCAGGCAAAACCTGAGGGTGAGGAGCCCATGGCCAAGCTGCAGAGGTCTGAGGAGCTGTGCCCCCACCCCTGTGGCTAACCCCCCCCACACTTCCCCTCGGACCACTCAGTCACCCCTGAGAAGATTGATTTAAAAATGTGCAGAAACAAAGACACTTTCAGAGAAGGTTAATTCCAGTCTCCCCATAATGGAACAATTTAGGCCACTGGGAAATTAGATAAAACTCGCTATCAGTTCCCAGTGCTAATGCTTTAAAGTGAACCTTCCCAAGAGATACAAAACCCCAAAGCTATCTATCAGACCTCCTCCCACTGCTTCCCCCCTCCCACTCACCAAAATATACTGCCCTCTAGGGTCAAGAGGACTGATTTGATGTGATCCCCCCCCCCCCCCGTTTTAGTTTGAGGAGATAGTTGCGATTGAGCTAAAGGAAATGGAACGAAAAGCCCCATCTCCAGCAGTGCAGTGATGCAACTAGTATGGAATGTGGAGACCAAGCGAGACCAGTTCTTCAGACTTTCACAGGGCTAAAGGTGACCTATCACAGACAGTAAAGAGGAGAAACTCCCAGCTAGGTGATCTGGGAAAGCATCCTGCTATTGATGGACTGCAAGTCTTTGTACCTACAGGAGTCCATAGCCTTCCAGAAGACTAGAACAGACCCTTCTTATCACCAAAGAACTTGAGATCCAGTGAGGATGCAAATGACAGGAATCATTTTCTACAAGATAACTCATTCTATTGGATTTTAAGAAGAAGAAAAGGCAATTGGGTTCCAGTGGGGCATTAAATCCACTGACCAGCTCCAACAATTCTCATTGGAGGGGGAAGTTGGGGAGAGAACAGGATTTAACTTTTATAGTCTGTTCCCCAGGTATCTGGCAGAAATGTTCAATCCATTGCAATTTATACAGGACACACTGAACTGGTCTCAGCCTGTTGTAACTACCAGGTTCTTCTTCTGGTTTGTTTTACTGGAGCCGTTCCCTCTGGTGTGGAGAAGGTAGGGCGGTAGTCTTTTTCAAACTGCTATTCTGACAGCAGGCACTCCTCAAATGGGCTTCATGAGGCATGGTGTTTTTGATGACCCAAAAAAAGCAATGAGGTATCATTCTGTCAACTCAAATTGTACTGGATTAAAACATCACCCTCCAAGCAAACCTAGCACTGCTTCGTGCCCACCAGCCTGAACAGCAAGTCAGTTGGGCTTGTATTGACTGTGACTGACAGGGCAGCTAAGTTACTCCTGTTATCGTTACTCTGATCTTTCTTGACTAATTCCCAACTTCCCCTTCTCCCTGGGGGGAAAAGAGAGATGGTGATGTGAAGGCTAGTGTGATATGTGGCTTTTATGCTGCTAAACTGCATATATGCATTTTATTTCTCAGTTGTGACTACAAACTGACAATGGCTGGGGATACAAGATACCCATAGATAAGAGCTATATGTACACATCACAGTGTTATTTGGGCCCAGCCAAGGCATCCAGTCCAATCACACCCACACCATTTCATCACATGACAGACAGGGAAGATTGAGGGAGTACGAAAGCTGGATTATTGAGTATGGTGCCACACCAACTGAATTTCAGCAGCCCAAAACTGACACAATGGGAGTTCAGACATTTGGCACAGTCTGTTATCAAGACTAGCTACTACAAGATAATCAACCCTCCTTCCTGAGAAAGAGGTGAAGACCCCACTGGAGGAGGTATGCTGACAGCAGTGTGGGGAAAAGCTGGACTGGAGAGTGTGTGTGGGGGGTATCCCTCTGAATTTCTTTACTGCACCTTGTTCATTGAAAAGGTCATCCATACCCTCAAACCACTGGTCGCTGCCCTCTGCCCCAAGCCAACAAGGAGACAGGATAGGGAACTTCCCTATGCACAAAACACTGACAAGACCACAGTGAGCCCAATTCCTTCAGGGGGAAATCCCACATTCATCAATCCAAACAAGGAATTCTGTGCTCATGGCCTACTCCAGGACCGTCCACTATGGCCTTGCCAATGCCAGTGAATTCCAGTGTACCTGGAACTTTGGTTCAATGGCAGTTTGGGACTCGACTCAAAAGCCCACGTGCCACAGCACTGGGCTACAAAGGACAAAGCCAGGACGAAGGGAAAAACATGCAGCAAATTCCTACGAAATTCCATTTACCAGATAGTAGGGACATGTCACTGCTTAGGGGTGGCACCAATTCATTGAAGGGACCAGTGAGTCCAGTTTGGCTAAAATTAGAATTAAAGAGAGGCACAAACGAACATTTGCACGTCCATTCAAGGCATTCCAAAAAAAGTCACAAAAGTCGACACGTCACTTTGGACAAGAAACATTACAACATTTTGGCAACTTTCACCAAGCCCCCCAAAGTCTCTGCAATGCCCCTTGGTACTTCGGGCTGACCTACTAAAGGTGGGGTAATGAGCAGGCTGCAGATGTGGAATTGCCATATGTAAATAGGGGCTCTCCTCCCCAAACTATCTGATGGATTTAAAACAAACCTACCTGCTTGCTACAGTACAAAATAAAGCCTCCCCTAACTCCTCCTGCTGGGAGAAGACAGCAGGAGATCAAGGGAGTCCATGCTGCTGGAGACAAACAAGGCAAAGCTGAACGTGGCAGCAACAAGTCCCTAACCTGGGTAAATCAAATAACATCATGCCAGGCTAAGATAGAGCTGTGGCAAGGGACTGGAGGGGAAGTGGGACAGGATCCCTGTCACCACTCTCATCCAACCTGGAGAGAATAAAGGACAGAACCATTTACTCTGTCACTAGCATGGGCCAATGTCGATTTTTAAAAATGCATGAAGAGCAATGGGCTTTGGGATATGCCAAGAGCCCATATATAATAGTGCCAGCAGTAGACCCCTCCCCCAAAGCCCACATTAGACAGAAACACAACTGCTCTCCCCACTAGGATTATTTTGTATCGAACTCGGTTCTCAGGAACCTGACAAACAAATACAAAGCAAGAATGAAAAAAGTTTCAGTATAAAAAAGACAGTTCTTGTTTTTGTCACTCATTTCTAAACCCTTTTCATCTGATTTGTGTGGGGCCAACTGGTGGGGAGGAACGCTGCAGGGTATCTCCAAGTTTTCTACTTGATAAACTTGGGCACACAAAATGGCACAGCTCTAATACAAATCCTCTTTCACCTACTCCATCCCACTGGAGGTTGGGCTGACTACACGGGCTCATGGACCTGAGCAACCCTCCCAAAGGCTCTGACTGGGAATCCGGCCCAGCCATTGTTGGAAAAATTCAATACAGCGCCGGCCAAGAAAACAAAAACAAACATTTGAAAAAGGGACTATCCGACTGGAAGAGTCTCTTCTTTCCTTTGTTTCCTGGGATTAGGGGGAAGCCTTTGGTTTTGACCAGAATTATTCTCTGTTGGCAGGACAGGCTCAGCTTTGCTTTGCGTTAGCTCGGTTACTGTACAAGAGCAAGGCTGAACTGCGAAGAAACGCTCTGCCCAGCTAGATTGCCCTTTTGACATCTCGGAGTATAACAGAACCAGACACGTGGATCACATCCGGGATCCTCGCTCCTGAAGAATCTGAAAAGAGAAGGACCAGTGTAATAAAGGTTGAACTTGGACAAATTTGGATATTAGTTCTCATGTTTCGAAAAATGCTATTTGTGTCAATAGGGGAAGGAAAAATTGATGGAGGAGGGGAATGTACAAAGAATCATCAGGAGTGGCCGCTGGTTTTTATATAACTTTTATGAATGACTGATTTCCTTGGAAAAGACAGGCCTGTGCTAAAAACACTTGGCTTTTGGTCACCGCAAGGCATAACAGGCCTGTGCTAAAAACACTTGGCTTTTGGTCATAACATTTATTGTTTGAGGCTGTGTGATCTGTGCATGTTTAAAGATGCATAGTCTTGGTCCATAATGCAATTCTTTCCATTTTTCTACCCAGATACCTCACCCACTCAGATTCAACAGCATGAACTGTAGAAGGATTTTTAAAAAGTATAATATTGTACTTCACAAATGTTAAGACGCAAATTCTAGTCACCTCTGTGAGGTAAGCATTATAACCATTTTACAGTTGGGTTATATGACCTGCCCAAGGCCACAGAGCGTGTATGGCAGAGCTAGGAGTGGAGTGACTAGTTCCAAGGTCTATAGTCAAGATCACTAAACCTATGAGCCTCCCTCAGAACCTTTAGAAAAACTGGAGATAAGAGATGATAAAGCCTCTTCTAGAGACGGGTCAGTTGCATGTAGGAAGTTCAGAAGGATAGTTTCATATTTTTCAGATCCTGATCAAAGGTTGATCAAAGGAAAACAAACAACCTACCTCCTTTACTCCCTGCAATGGCTGTCAGCTAGGAAATGTGATCTGCTTCAATCTTCCTCGTTGTGCTAACCCCTTCTTCCCTCCTTTTTACACATTTAAAAAAAAAAAAGTTCATCTCTTTCCCGTAAAGCTATGGCTCAATGTGAAATGTATGAAGAGCTTTGGATCTGGATAGATTTGCTGTAATGTCATCTAGTAAAACTGCAAATCTTACTGGAGGATGTGGGAGCGGAGGGAAGAGTGAAAGAGAATAAGCGTGTGCAAGGAATTACTACTGTCAACCTCATGGCATCATTAGAGCATAGAGGAATTTCTTTTCTGTGTACGGGGACATTTAAAGACCACTCTCTTAACCAGGCTCCTCACCTTTGCCTTCTCACTAGGTTCGATGACAATGCCATTGGTAGAGTTGTTGAGCTCCCTTGAGACGACACAGAGGAATTCTGCCTGGTCCTCATTTCCATAGTTATAGGAAGATCCAATGCTGATTAGCTGAAGAACAGGAAAATAACCAAGAGGATGTAAGGATTAATGCAGCAATAGCCAATGGACTTTGCTCTGTCCTTGTTATCGCTTTGTGTGTGGCTGGTTGAACCCAGTCAGATCTAAAGTTTCAACAGGACAAAAATCTCTGGGGTCTTAACTTGTGTTATAAGCTTTCCTGTCAAATAGTATGCATATTCTTGGTCCATGACTGGAAGTGCTACAGAGCCCCCTGGTGGTGGCTGAACTCAGGGAAAATTGACTGAAAGGGTAACATGGAAAGCTGTGATGCATTTTCCAATTAATGAAAACATTGAAAATATCTATCACATTTTGCAATACAAACTGTTAAACCTTAGCCAAATACTTCAGAGAATGGATATGCCAGGCAATGTGGGCTCTACAGAAGGAGTCACTCAGTCCAGACGATACACTTGTTTAACGAAATTCTAGGAATACAGCTTCTGACTTTTTGATGCAGAAACACTGGACAGGCAATTTATTTGTCACAAAGGTAGGACAGCATATTCCAACAACTAAAGGACACCTGGCAAACTAGCACAATTCTTTTATAATGATTACATTAAACTGACAGCCTGGAGTAAACAGCATAGCGGTAATTTGTATTTCTCAGCCCTGCTCTTCAGACTAGCCTTGGATTTTACATCCTGAAGAAAAACAGTATGAATCTCGTGTGTATTTTAATGGACACACTAGTTCTGCACAAAGGATTTTAGAAAAGAGAACCTCACACTTATAACAAGGGATAGATGCGGCTCCCTGTCCCCTGAGTATAATAATCATATCCATTGTTCTGTGGGTCTGAAGGAGGATTAGCCAAGCTGTAATAATGGAAATGGCTTGTACAATGAATGAGCTTTAATGGTTGCATTGATTCACTACTGAGGACAAAAGACTTGGTTTTAGGATGTCAATGGACTGTTTTCCCTTTGTATTTTACCACTTGACTGTCTAAACTATAATGAACATAAACAGCTGCACTTCAGACCACAAGTCACTGTGGATACACAGAATCCATGTTAGTTAGGAAAGATATTTAGCAGCTATCTTCCCTACCTCAGCTACACTGCTATTTATACTCGCACTAGCTCTCATTGAGCTAGTGGAGTACGTGTATATGAGCCAAGGAATCGCAGCCCTAGCTCATAGCATAGATATAGCCATAGAGAGAACCTGTCGGGATGACAGGGGAATTGAATTCCTCACCCTGGTTAATCCTTGGTGTCTGTGTTAAGACTGCTAACAAAGAGTAAATAGTGCCAAATGTGATATGGACAGGGGCGGCTCTGTGTTTTGCCGCCCCAAGCATGGCAGTCAGGCGGCTTTCGGCGGCGCGCCCACGGGCGGTCCGCTGGTCACGCTGATTCGGCGGCATGCCTGCGGGAGGTCCGCCGGTGCTTGCCTTTGGTGTCCCCGCTGCGGGACCGGTGGACCTCCCGCAGGCATGCCGCCGAAGGCTGCCTGACTGCCACCCGCACAGGGACCGACAGGCCGCCCCCCGCGGCTTGCCGCCCCAGGCACGTGTTTGCTGCGCTGGTGCCTGGAGCTGCCCCTGGATATGGACACTTGTCCATTGGAAAATGGACACTGAACCATCACATTGGTGACTGCACAGCTAGCAGACAGTCACAGCTTTTGGTCACTACTAAACTGGGCTGGATTTGAATAGATCTAGAAGTGAAGGCTCTATCCTATTAGTCCTATGAGCCATTTGGTGTCCTCCTATTTCATTGCAAACAGATATTGCAGATCTATCTCAGCTACAGTTCAGGAACTGTCATGATCTATAGACCAGCTTGGTGGCTTAAGTTCTTTGTATATCCACACAAGAGAACTGTTTGTGATTTCTGATACCAAAGTTGGGGCTGATTTATGCCCTCGGCAACTCCCTTGAAACATGGCCAAGCAAACTTGTGTTGTAAATGTAGCATCTTTCACATTTGCAGGGCAAGGTATTTCTCATGTCACTCAACACTTCTCTGTGAAGGGGTTGTGCTGCTGGGCTCTGAAGAAAGTAGTTTTCACTTCTCCTGGATCCCATCATTCTCCTTGGATAAAAGCTCCACAGTGGGGCCAGGAAAATGTGGGAGGAGAGAAGAATTTCTTAAGAGTCCGACAAGGATACAAAAGATCTCAAGGGAACATTATTTATTTATGGTTAGGGGTTCAGTAAGCTACTGTTGTTCCCCTGCCAGTTATTCCATATCAGGTGGGCTGATTCTGGATACAGACTCCCCGCCACCAGCAGGAAGGAGTCGTGAGAGGGGTAGTTAAACAGACCTATAAACTCATTCCATATGCTGTTCCCACAGGGGGATCCCTTTCTTTGGATATAGGAATGGCAATCATTGGCAACAGTACCTGTTCAAATTTCCATCCATCAGACATAGTGGACACCATCTGTGTGAGCTCTTCCTCTTGGCACTGCAGGACTCTGTACACATGTTTCACAGGTCCCTAGAGCACCCAGGGAAAAAAACAAAAAGCAGGAATTTTAAAATCAGGAGAGGGAGTTGGCTTAGCGGTGTTTGCTTTCAGATAAAGAAATACAGCTGAGGCTTTAGTGTCTTCTTGTAGGGAAACCTGATCTATTTTGTGCCTTGAGGATTATAATGAAGAGGAAGACTGAGTTGCATAGACTTTCCCAAACTAGTCTACATTATTTTTCCTGGTGAGGGTAGTGAGGATTTTGAGGTGACATTGTCAAAAGCATGTAAATGATAGGAGCCCAAGTCCTCCAGGTGTGTTTTGAAAATTTTACTCGTCTAGTATTGATTCTACAAATTAAAAACAACAGTTCAGCAGCAGCAAAAAGAATTGCAATAAAGAAATACTGAGAGAAGATGCTGTTCTGAGAAGGCTTATATTTGATGGAAATATTAAAGTTGTCTGGGAAGGACAAGAAAAGCATGTCCGTAGATCTCATTTTGTAAATATAATGGGAGAGAAAATCACCCAAGTTCCCTTTCTTAGGGTTGACTTTAGGGAAAGCGCGACCCAGAATTCTAGTAACGTCCCACACCAAGGAAAGGGAAATAGACTACACTGGGCACTCACACAAACTGTTTATGCAACCTAACGTTTTCTGCCAAAATAGTATCACTACACTTTTATTAATTGCAAATTTAATAAAACATATTAAAGCAACTCCCATTCTCTAAATGGGATGCATGGCCCACGTACTCATAAGATCTTTTAGTAGGTCAGCTGGCTAATCTGCTTTTTGGATCGCAAAGTCCCAGCTATTGCCTCTGAGTCCTCATTTTCACGCCTTGTTTCAACTGACCCCATTTCCAGCCCCCTTCAATTCAATTGCTCCTGACCTCTACCTGCAAATATCGGGGAGTAGATTTGAGAGCCTGTGCCAGTAACCATGAAGGATGCGTGCTCTCAATCATGTCGGATCCATCAGAAAGTAGGGACATCCAACTACTTGAGAGACTAGACACCAAGTCTGCGGTCACGTGTCTCACCCTGCAGCACACTGTCCCTCTGTCACACCTTTATAAATGACTGAATCCTGATGACTGAGTTTTTCTACTTAAGTTTTAAGATGCATTACTTGAGAGGTTCTGTTCTCATTGTCCCGTATCCGCTCCTTCACCAGACGCACCAGGGATGCAATATTGTAAAACTCGGCTTCTTCCAGTACCCCTACACAAATCCAAAAGCAGAGGAAGAAATTCTGTTAGTCAACAGAAAACAGAATAAGGACAATTTTATCAAAAGGATGCAGTGCATGGCATCAATTTGTAGTTAACTTTATATTTGCAATCTAAGCCTGTATGTGGTACAATAAATGGATGCAGAATGGATGGTGGTATTGATCTGAGTCTAAGAAAATGCTCTACTCAGATGGTCATAGCCTCCTTATGTGAAAGCATATATCGTCTAACAGAGGCATACTCCCCCTTCTCTAGGATTATAGAAACCCACCAGGCTGTAATACGGAAATTCTGCTCTTTTATTGGAGGCTTTTGGCAAAATAGTTTTAGCCATCTCAGATCAATCTATTTCATCATCTCAGCATATTACAAAAAAGCCATTTATGTCTCTGGATATACAGGACTGCAGTTTTTGAAAAGAGAACAGGAGATCATTCTTAGACAATGTCTCCTCTCTCAAAAAGTACAATTTGCTGTTCAAAGCCAATGAGTTGAGCATAGCAAGGATAGCCTGCATTAAGATCTAGAAGTCTCTGCTTCCAGTATATATCGGCTTCATATTATTCATGAGCGTCTTTGTGGGAATCTAAAAGAAAACCGCATTATTGCGAAATGGAGCTGACACACAAGGCACCATGTTAATGCATTAGGAAGCCTCCACACCCAGACTAGCTCTAAGTAATGACTGGCAAGTCAAACCGTGCCAATGGGGCGTTTACAGTTGTTTGCTCTGCAATAAATGTTTCTTACCTTCTTCTGCCAGCTCCTTGTTTATTATGAGTTTTCCATGTCGGAGGTAGTTCAGGATCGGCCCAAAATAAGTGGGATCCCTGTCGATGAGATATGCCCCTGTCTCATCCTGTGAAACATACATGGGAGTCAAGCTAGATGCCTCTCTACACTGGGACTCCTAAAATTACTAACCCCTCCTGAAGCTGTATTGGTGTTAACAATGATGAGAAAACTTTGCAAAATTTCTGTAGCATAGACAGGCCCATGTTTGCAATGTTGAGTAGTGTTTGGGGTGGGGAAGGTCGGAATGTGGCAAGTGAGCCTGTCTACGCTAATTTTCTTTCTGCAACTTCTGATCCAGCATGAGTACCTGTTAAAGGGATGGTTAAAGTGAACCAGAGAAGTTGGTGTGTGGGAGCAATAGCATGAAACAGATCATCCTGATCACAGGAATTGGGTTTTCTTTCATGTAAAAAGAAGAGGCAACTCCAATTTTTTTTTTTAATAACCTTCTGTTTATATAAATGGCAAACTCCTAAACTCCTTTTTATTTATCTGAAAATTACACCAAGGCCAAAGGACCCTTTGGGAATCAGGCAATCTCCACAATGCAAATTAGCGTCAGCTCTAAAATTTAACTACATTGAAATGGCTCTTGTTCCATAAAATGCATCTTTAGAACAAAACTTCCTTGCACATAGTCCAAATCTCAGCTTATCACTTAAGATACAGATTTCACATTTTACTCATTTCTCTCTCTAAATCATATTTCCATAGATACAGTCCTTGTTAATCTTTATTTCAAATCTCTATCTTTATATACCATGCTGGATTCAGTGTGTCTGTATGTACCAATTCATCTCTTAGATGCGACTACTAGCACAAATATCTGCTCCTAAAGCACCAAATGCTACTGATGAGGTTTAGAAATAAATAATATTTCTACAGTACTTTACAGACAAATAAGATAGTCCGTGACCTGAATATATTAAAACTTTAGAACATAATCTTGCGAACTCTATCTCAAAGGAGTCAATGGGGCCTACTCTTATGAGTATTTGCTGGAGTGGGCCCAATATTTAGACAATGTGATAATGGACAGCAATAAACAATTAGGGTTGGGGGGAGGGTTACAATAAGGTAAAGTGTTTGTCTTGGTGATTCCAATATTTATTGATATTGAAATTTTAAAAATATTTGACTGTTTATGAACTAAGCCCCAAATCCTATAACTGGATCCATGCAGGCAGACCCGAAACCTAGGCACCTTAAGGGACAAGTGCTTTTTCCTATAAATCAAAATAAACAAAAATGTAGGTCACAGTAGCACTCACTCAGCACTGTGACAACAGGGACAAATGTTATTGCTCCTACAAAAACTGCAGTCTTTTTATGTCAGTCTGCTTTTTGTTTCTGTGACTTGTTCAATCAGAAAACAAAATAATGCTTCTGAGGAAATTAAAGAAAACTAAGATACACATAACCCAGGCCTCATTGCAAATTATTAATGGTTTACATCTCCTCTAGACAACATGTTGATTTCTAAACTATGCATCAGACACTTAGCGCACCTCCTTATTTTTTCACTTCTTAAAATCAACACTGCAATAACAAGTTAGATCTATGTAGGGCCTTTCACAGTGCACAACATGGTAAGATTATCAACAATTAATAGGTGAAAGAAAACATTTCTTTCCCACACATGATTTAGTTGGGGATTGGTCCTGCTTTGAGCAGGGGGTTGGACTAGATGACCTCCTGAGGTCCCTTCCAACCCTGATAGTCTATGATTCTATGAACCAAGTTTAATGTGTTGACACAGAACAACACAGACCTTTTAGAAATACTTTGACGCAGCAAGCATTCGTGATCATTACAAGTAGGTCACAGTGCTGTTTTTAAACATCACAGAATAGTTCATCTTATTTTGTTCATTGAGCAAATTAGGTGCTACTGAGATTGGGGCAGTCTGCTGTACAGCAGAATAAATGTTTTTTTCCTGAACCCCTTCTTACTCTGTACTGAGATACTAAGGTAATGGGAACTATTATAAATACCTTAAACAGATTATTTGACAAGTAGGAATTTTAACTCCTGATTAATCTTGTAGCTGGGAGGAAGGAGTATTTATTTAATTCTGTATCTAATCTCTCTGTAAAGTGTTTTGTGATAATTATATAAAGAATATTCTAGAAAAAAAAGATTGTAGTTACCAACATATTGATTCATTTGTGAAATTCCCAGTAGGGGTAGGAGGTTGAAATCTGAGTTCTCAAAGCCACAGACCAAAGTAAATAGCGTATATTAATACACTTAGTAAGTAATAAAGCAAACCACAGAAGAATATAAAGAAAAGGAGAAATGACAAATATATTCCTAGGCTGAGAAAAGTTACTAAATACTTAGATCTAGAGAACAGACAAGTGTTTTATAATTGATGAGGACTTCCCCAAACTCATTAGTCCTCATAAATAAGTCATTGTTTAGGTGCAGCCTAAAGGATTTGGGGGTATGTGATACACTGATGGGTGTTGAGTACACATGGGTGTGGGAAACAAAGCTGGTAGTTAGTGTTGTGATGTGGGTATAGCCGTAGTGGAAGAGTATGGGGGAGGGTAAGAGATTGTCTGTCTAGCTCCTTTTATGACAGCAGATGTAGCAGAGGAAAGATTTATGCGCACAGCAGATGATCTGGATGAGAGGGGTACGGTTGGTGTTTATGCTGGGTGAATAAATGCCCACAGCTTCAACCCCTTCAAGTTGTCTGATCTGAACTGGGTCCCCTCCTCCCCAGCAGAAATAGCCCAAAGCCTAGATTGGTGTGTGCGCGAGAGGAGCCTGCGGTGACTGGAGGGGGCGTTAGAGGCTGTAGGGACACACTGCCCCCCGCTATTTTGGGGTGGTGGTTATGACTAACACGGATTAAGTGTGGTTGCGTGTGTATGTGGACGCTGCAGTCCTGCTATTTCCTGGCGGAAGGGGGGGACACTGACCGCTCTGTATCTCTAGCGGGGGGCAGGTTAGTCAGTTCGGGGGGAAGGGATGAAGCTTCCGTGAGGGTGCGATCGGGATTGTGGTCTCCATAGGAGTTTGCACGGCGTCGGGGGTTCATATGGCGCCCGTTGCCCGCCCCGCGCAGCCCCTCACCTTGTCCGAGCCCAGCTCGGGCCCGTCCTGGCAGCAGAGGCGGCACAGGAAGGACTTGGGCTCCCGACACAGGGTCTGCCGGGTGCTCACGAAGTATGTGCCGCCCACATTGAGCCGGACCCACTTGGAGCCGGAGCCAGACCTGTCCGCGACGGGCGGCTCGGAGCTACGCGGGGACAACCCCCCTCCGGAACAGGCAGGCCCGGCCAGGCGGGGGCTCGGCGGCCCGGGAGGAACCGGGATGCCCCCCAGTACCGGGCTGGGCGTACGGCCCCGGGGCGGCCCATCCCCGGCCGCCATCAGCTCCGCCATCCTGGACCGTGACTTCGTGGGGAGTCCCAGGCGAGGGCGGCCACCCTCGCTCAGCGCTGGGGGGAGAGCTGGGTCCGGCGCCCGGCAGCCATCGCTTCCCTCACAACTGTTCCCCTCCTCCCAGGAAGAGCCGGACTTGACTTCCGGGTCACCAGCGGCCTCCCCGTCACACCAAAATCCTCCCGCGACGCACACAAACCAATGGCTGTGTTAAGGGGGGGATCCCCAGGCGCAAGGCGGTAAAGAAAAACACAGGAATACAATATAATATAATAGGCAACCCCTGAGGAAGAGCGGAATATTAGTTCCGGGGCAACCGGAAGTGAGTAGGGGACATGCCCCTGGAAAACTCGGAATTTTGGAGACTGGCGGTTGAAATGAAGAGTAAAAGGGAGGGGAAGATTTTTTGAAATTATATTGCTGTTAAAAGAGCCGTTGAGAATCATTTCCGGGTTGTCTAAGGGGGGGTGGGAGGAGAGTGCGAGTGAGTCCTTCCGGGGGCACCGGGCTATGATTGGTTGGCGTCGGACCGGGTTTCCGGAGGGTGCCTAGTAGCAGGGTGGTGGCGGTCGCTGAAGGTGAGACTAACCCGGGTGGTTTGGGTTGGGGTGAAGACCCCGGCACGGGCGGCGCTGCGTGTCTGGGGTGGGGGGGGACTCTGCATAGCAGGGCGGTGTGTCCGACTGGCCCTGCCTGGGGAGGGGAGTGGGGAGGCGGGCGGGCGGGCGCAGCCGGTGCTCGGATCCTGTCCCCTCCCCCGAGCTGTGCCGGGTTGGGGGGGACTCGGGTCTGGGGGGGGAGGAGGAGGAGGGGGGGTGGTGGTGAGTCGAGGAGCACTTTCTCCCCTGAGTCAAACCTCCGATGATGTCCCCGCTTGGCGTTAGAAGTGGCTTTGTGGTGCTGCCTTTCAGGTGAGAGGTGGCGGGACTTGATGGTCTGTCGTGGCCCCTTCCAGCCCTTAATCTGTCTGATAATTCTGTTAAATCAATGTAGTGATCAGTGGTGACAATCAAAGTTCCCGTAGCGAGAGCAGGGTGATATCTGGAGCCTGACTCTGTGGCTCAGTAACCACACGTTGGTTATTATAATTCCAGTAACTAGGTAGAGTAGCCTTTACTTTGTCTTAAATAGTTTCATAGTGTTGCTGTGTGCTGCCATGTTCCACCCCAGGAATGACTGCATTTGAGTCCTGTTGAAATGAACTCTGTATATCTTATCTAGCAAAGCGAAGTATTGTGGTGCTCAATTATTGCTTGTAAAGTGTTTCTCTCTTCTCAGCAACATAAGAAATGCGAAGTGTTGTTATGAGCATTACTCTTGGTGGGAGTCAATAGAGTGAGTGCAATTGCAGCAAAGAGATAGCTGAAGTGATGTTTCAGTTGATGAAATACCCAGACTTTTACACTGATGAAAATAAACTTGCCTGTTCTTCTAGATTCCTCTTCAAATTTAAGTTTCTTTGCTGTTTTATTTTTCTAGAACACAAAAATGGCAGGTCGCAGAGCTGCTCTGAAAGCGATTGACTGGATGGCATTTGCAGAGAGAGTACCTCCCAATCAGAAAGCTATATTTAATGCCCTGAAAACACGCAGCGATGCTCTTTCAGCCAAGTGAGTATATTTCAGTGTGAAAAGGTTGCTCTGGCGAGAAGACGGTGGCATTAGCAATTCAGCACTGGCAGTCCATGTGTAAACCAATGTAAAAATAGTTTGAAGTGCTATTCTCATAACTGTGTGCCTGCCATAAGGATGTTAAAATAATTGTCTTAATTCTTCACGATAAAGCCTGCTTTTTTTCTTTTTTTTTTAAGCCAAATTCTGCTTTCTCTTGATCTTCTCCATAGTGCTACAGTGGCTATAATGTTAGTGGGAGTCCTGAGAGAGGTTACATTTGGTCTGATCAAAAAAGTCTTTTAAAAAATGTTTGACTTGTTGCCAAATCTTGCTATAAAAAATAGTGAATCCTATTGGACGTTAGCTTTGCTATTGCTAGATGCACATGTTGTTTGACATGCAGCTAAGATTTGGCCTTCACTTACAATTTATACCTGCATTGCTATGTCGGTCGGGCGTGTGAAAAATATACACCCCGCTAGTGACATAGTTAGGCTGACAAAACCCTCAGTGTAGATACAGATATGCTGACAGAAGGGCCTTTTGTCAGCATGCTAGCATGGCTGAGGGAGGTGGTGTTCCTACGCTGGACAAAAACCTTTGTCTACACTGGGGGCTGTGCCAGCACAGGTTCTGTAGTGTAGATACAGCTAAAATGCCATTGCTTATTGTCTTTCTTTTTTTTTTTTTAAACACTTTGTCAGCCTTGCAAAACTGTAATGAAAACAAACCATTCCATTCACAAACTCTCCTTGCCTGCTCCTACCATGTTCATGATGAAAAAACTGAGAGTATCGTACTTGCCCATCCACCAAAAAAAAAAAAAGCAATATTGCCATTTCCGTGTTAATGACAAGTGAAAATATTGGCAACTAAAATTAGTGTAGTTGCTACCCTGGGGCCTGATGATGGGTGGGACAATGGATACTGCAGAGTTGCCTGGTGTGGAACTGGGAGCTCTCTGAAATTACTGGGGGTTGTTCTATCAGCTGTTCTGCTCCACCTGTACAGGTTGACCTCCTTGCCAGAGAAGCCCCCAGCTATTGATTGGGTTTATTACAAGACTGGAGTTGCTAAGGCTGGCATGGTGGATGAGTTTGAAAAGAAGGTGAGATTCTCGTCCTCAATTAGATATTGTTGCTGTTTTGAAATCCAAGTGGAGGCTGCTCATATCTGATGCACAAGACACAGAACTGGGAACTTTTCCTTTAGCAGGCTGCTAGGTGAGATTATTAGGATGTATTGGCCCAGATCCTGTGCTGTGGTGTGCAGCTGCTTTGCATCACACTGCTAGCACAAAAGTTGGCATAACTAAAAACAGGAGGGGTCATTTTAGAGGAGGGGGATCCTCCAGTGGCATAAAGCTAATGCTTTTTCTCTTACAGCCTGTATAGGTTTTCCCGGCTGTAGGTGTAGAAGTGGCCTGAGGAAAGAGTATATGGTCAGAGCTTTTCTATTCTCTGCTGATTCCCAACTGCCGTATTAGCCTCTTGAGACTTTTAGTAGTCTGCGTAATTTAGAGCAGCGTGATGTATGCTCTGATACTTGCCTGCATGCAGCTGGTCCAGTAGTGAAAAGGCCACCTTTGTACACCTCTATCACATTCTGAGCTGTGCTGTGTTCTCCTTGGCTGTGGCCAAGGCCTGGCCCAGAAGCCTACTGGAGTAAAATTTTGCAAATAAACTATTGAATGAGGTGTGATGGCTTGAGAAATGGAACAGTCTCTCCCCAGAGAGCACAGAGTTAACATCCGTTCAACCCTTGCCATTGAAGGGCAGGAAGTAAAAAGCACTGTTAACTCCCCGAAGTGGTGTGGTAATAAGACTAATCCCATGAAGTGGATGTTAACTTCTTTTTTTTTTTTTTTTAATAAATGGGCATTGGGCAAATAAGCAGTGACTTGCCCAGTATCACGTAGGGCAGTGGTTCCCAAACTGGGGTTCGTGAACCGCTGGGGGTTCGCGAAATGTTACAGGGGGTTCTCGGGGGAAAAAATTCCCTAATGGCGGACAGAGCTGTCCCTAGGGACCGCTGGCAGCATGGGGCCAGCAGCCCAGAGCCCCTGGACTTCCAAGAGCTAAGCTGATGAAAGCAAGCAAATCTATCACACTGAGGAGATTTAAACTTCAAGACTCCTTATAAGAAATGGAAAGGGAAGTGGATATTTTTTGCTGTTTTTAAAATTAAATAGGCAGCTAGTATTGATTTTAAAATGATTATGAAGAACAAGTTTAAGCTTTGTTGTAACGTGCGTTGTTTGCCTGGACTGCTCAAGACCTGAGTCTTGTGTAGGAGGAACTCTTTGAGTTGGCTTCTTAAATACCTTCATGCTGTTTCACATCTGATACTCCTTGATGAAACATAGGAGCCTTGTCTTATAACAGGCTTATTCAAAGTGATACAAGCTACAAAAGTGAGATCTTGGAAGAGTGTTGCCGTTTTCATAATGTAATAAAAATACTGTAATGATAATTAAATTAATAATAAATAGTGTGTAATAAGCATGTCATAAAAACAAATTTTATATTTCCAAGATCACTGCTTTTATAATTTATACTCTGGAGAAGATCCTTGGAAATATTCATTTTTAGGAGGGGGTTCACGAGACTTGACATTTTAGTGAAAGGGTTGTTAAAGTTTGGGAACCACTGACATAGGGGGTTGGTGTCCGAGCTGGAATTAGAACATAGCAGTTCTTGGCTCCTGGCCCTCTGCTCAGTCCACAAGGACCCACTGACCTTTAGAGGAATTCAGGAGCTTCTTTTTCATCTGTATAACTTGACTTAGTTTGTGGGACAAGATAGTAACCCTTTGGCATTAGATTGTTAATGCTTCCATACAGCACCATGTTTTGGCTCTGTACAAGACTACCAGCATCCTGGTGACAGTGTAGTGCTGAGTAAGTTGTGTACATATGAGAGACAACCAACACTATTTGTGAAGCTGGCATCAAGTTGAGTTGATTGGTGACCTACTGCAGGAAGCCAGTTCACTTGGAAGGGTCCGAGAGTGTTTTTGGGGAGACCAAAGTGCACTAGTCTGGCTACTGGGGAAATATTAGCTCTGGGAGCATGTAGGACTTTTAACGGAATTGAGAGGCAACACATTTAGAATTTTATTTTTTGAATTTACAGTACAATGCACTAAAGGTTCCTGAGCCTGTGGACACACAAACAGACCAGATAAATGCCCAGGAGCAGGAAGCTGTAAGTATTTAAAAACTCTTCCCTGCCACACGGTTTCTCTTTGATCTTTGTGGAGGTATAGAATAATTCTGACTTGGAGTCTGCTGGTGGGTTTGTGCTGAGGTGCAGGAGCTGCAAGTCTGGGTTTGTGCATATAGGCAGCTTTTGAGCAAGAATAGGTTCTCTCCACCTATCCATGACCACACTTGGGGATTTAGAGTCTGGGACTGGATTGTGGTTCTGCTTGCTCTTCTGGTGTAATACACTAATGTCAAGCTTAAGACAAAGGCAACCGAACTCTGATCAACTGAGGATCATATTGGCCTCTTGTCAGCAGCCCAGAGGATGCACCTATGTTGAATAAAATAGGCCTGACTCCTTTTTAATGTGGAGTTGGTGTTCTTGGAGACTGCAGGGGTCAAGATGGAGCATTGCGTAGTGGGACTTCTATTCTATGGGTTCATCCTCTGTGTGAAAGAGGAGGGTGGGTGTAACATAAACTCCACTCAGGTCATTGCTCAGGTCATTGATGTTGTCTTTAGCCTGAGAATTTATCACCCTCAAGAGCTCCTTGTGGCTTCCTGTTACAGAATGTGTTTGCCTAAAAACTTCTAGATCACTAGAGTCTTGTAAATCCGCTGTTCCAAACAAGTTTGAACAAAGCGGCTTACATGACATTTTTGTAACACTTAGCCACAGAGGCTGAAGCCTATGGCTTAGGGAGTTTACCTGACTTCAGACTCTCCCTTCAATCTCTTCAAAAAAGGAGGAGTGGAATCCACTTCCTAACTGATCAGTGCAACAGGGAATGGTAACTTCAAACCTCTCTCCATCTTTCCAGGTTTGGGGAGCAAAATCACTTAGTAGTTGTTACAAGTAACACCTAAGATAGATCGTTTTGTTTACTATAACAGAAAGAAGTTATTTCTTCAGTTTCTTTTGTGCTTTTGAAAGCACTTTGGGGAAATGATTAAACTGAGTATGCACTTAGTCAATTTCCCTCTTGTATCTCACATAGCAACAGGGGAGAGAGAACTTGTATTAGAAAACAAACCGTTATTGTAAACCCACAAAAATTGCAAGGAGAATCAGGGGCAGGTATAGGGCTTGGAATTACTTTTACCTGTTTTTATTTAAAGCAGATGCTATTTTAAGGTCAGTGTCTCTTTAATGAAGAGGTAAGATGAGAATGGTGACTCTCTCTAAAGTGAAATAGGATGAGAGTCACAGCTTCAGTGCAGGAATCAAT